TTTTTTTTTTTTTTTTTTTTACAAGAGAAATGACTCCTTTCCCAGTACCTAGTAGGGATGCTCGGTGGAAGTACAATCGTGATAGAACAGAAATAGGTAACTTGGGAAACTGCCGATCTCCTTCCTGGGAAGAATGCTTTAGAGCGATGGATGTTTCCCCTTCTCGTGGGACTGAGCCAACCCGGTTTTCCAGGGTTTTCCTACCCAGACTTTAGGTTCCAGCAGATTCAAACTGTTCTCTCCCCCTGCTCTCCCCTCTCTCCCTTGCCCGTTGAAACCTGTCCCCTTTAAAGACCTACTTCCAATGGCACCGCCTCCAAGAGCCGCTTTCCGACTCCAGCAGTGAGGCAGAGCAGCAGCTGACACTCTGAGGGCGCGTCCCCCGGGCCGGGCGCTGTCGTGGGCCCCAGGCGCTGTCGTGGGCCCCAGGCGCAGTTACTCGGCCCTCCCGGCGGTCTCCTGAGGTTGGTCCTCTTAGTCTCGCCATTTCACGGACAAGGAAACCGCGACTCCGAGGCTCAGGTCGGCAGTGGGAGGTTAGGGGGCGCAGGCCCCTCGCCCCAAGCAGTCTTCACGCCCTCCGAGCCGCATGCGGGGCCCCCGGAACCGCGGAGGTGCTGCCCTGTCAGGAAGGGCCGTGGGCTTCGTGCGGGCGAGCGCCCTGCGGGATCCATCTGGCGGAACCTAAAAGTCCCACGAGAAGGTTGATCAGACAGTCTAAGGGACACTAAGAGGGGGCTTGCGTGTTTCTCAGAACGAGGGGCTGGGAGCAAGGACCGGCCTCCTTTCCAAGTCACTGCAGACAGAGGGTGAGCGGGGAATGGCTCACCTCCCTCCAAAGCTCTCGCTTCTCTCTCCTGCTGTGTGGCTCACTGTGCTCCAGGCCAATAAGGTGCTATTGTCTTCATGTTCCCGGTTACTGGCTCATGGTTCATCGAAAAACCCTGCATCCAACTAGGCTGAGCTTCGGACTCGAGAATGGGTGCATTCAGGTCCCTCCCACTGACCGTTTTGTGTCCCCCGGCCGAGCGCTTACCCTTTTAGAGGCCCCACGGCCGCCGAGCCAGGGAAGGACGTCGCAGGGCGGGTTAGGCGGTGACGCCCTGTCTCGTGCTTCCAGGCGGCGGTCGTTCAGAAGCTCCTGGTCTGTGGACTCTCCTTATTGGTTCACTTGACCGTCTCGAACGCATTCCCTGTGGAGCACAACATCGACGAGCATTTTCAAGCTACCGCTTCGTGGCCGACAAAGGTTATCTATCTATATGTCTCTCTTTTGGCTGCCAGACCCAAATACTATTTTGCATGGACGTTAGGTGAGTAACGCGGGAACAAACGGACTTTTCTGTTAATGTGTTGAAGTGTCCCTTGCCCTACGCGTAGCCATGAGGGTGCCCTCTTGAGGACATAGAGTTAAAGACCCGCTAGAAAAATTAGGGTCGTTCATACAGGAGAAACGGACCTCATAGCTCATACCCAGAACATGAGGATATAACCTAAAAACTGGATCGAAGCCCATTTTTAGATTAAAGTGAGAATAAATCCATTTTTACTGTTTAAGAGTAAACGGTGATATATATGATAACATACGCCTTCTGGGGAAAAAGGCAGACTGTCCCAGAGGCTCTTAACACTGTTCCCCCTTTGCTCCCTACAGCTGACGCTATAAACAACGCCGCGGGCTTCGGTTTCAGGGGATATGACAAAAACGGGGAAGCTCGTTGGGACCTAATTTCCAATTTGAGGATTCAGCAAATAGAGGTTGGTCAATCATTAAGAAGTTAGTTACCGTAACTAACTTGAAGTAGCATAGTTTGCTGTCCTCAGTTGTGATGTGATGTCCGAGAGAGGTACTGAAGGATTTTTAATAATAATTGAACCAGTACCAAGGCTGCCTCTGGGATGGGGGGCAGCTTTAGCGGGAGGGGCT